TGGCTCCTGAGCCACAGTTTGGCCACCTCTGACATATATCAACCAAGCTAGGCTTTCTTTTTTTCCCCCTTCTTTTTCTCCCATTTTTCCACTTTCATTGGCACACTGCTTATTTTCCAGTAAAATGAAGAATGAAGATGGATTATTCAAAATTGATAACAGTAATGGACCATCCTGTAATGTTTTATTGAATTTGAGTTCTGTAAATTATATGGTGGAGGGAAATTTGCCTGCTTAAGTATAACAGAAATTGCCACTGTGTTCATATAATTCTTCGCAGTGTAATTTAAGAAAAAGCACACTACCCATATCACTGTTTGAGTAAAAGGTAAAAAGGTGCTATTACACTATCATGACAGCTCTCCTCTTGCTAATAAGCGACAAAGATAAATGTGTCTGCTTATAACTTACTTGGCAGAGCTCCAAACTTGCGGGTGGAGTTTGAAAATAATCTTCCACCTGGATATGAGATTTCAACCCATTGCAGTGGAGACAGATAGCATATGAGGAAGTTCTGCATATTTGGGGGGAAGGTTTCAGCAAATCACATTTTTCTTCTAAGAGCTTTGAAGTTCCATAAGGCTGATAAAAATCTATCTGAATCAGTGATTACGTTCAAAGAGCAGACAAACTGGGGGCCAGACAGACTATGTTCTAGTGTGTATTGGCAGCCACTTTAATTTATCTCCCATTTTAAAGAATTCATAATTAGCTTTTGAAAGTGCTGATATTTATTGAACATTTTTGTGCAATTACTAATGAAGTATACGTGCAATGACTTGTAAAGATTTGTTTATATTTTGTGATTTGGCTGTTGTTTAAATTGACTTCTGCTGTAAGGAAAAAGATTGGGCTGTTGAACTAGCAAATTCAAGTGCATTTAAGCACATATCTCTGTGTTCCATGTATGGCAGAAGTCCAATATGAGAATTAACACAAGCTGCATTAATGGAGTAATTGTTAATATGGTTAGTTATGACATAATCATACTAGTAATGTTCATATTTTGTCATATTTCAAGATTTATAATGTAAATAGCTGATGCCAGGAGTATAAGAAAAATATGGTGGGATCATGGAAACAGATAACAATATTCAAATATGTTAGGGATTCACAACTGAAGGCCCAGAGAGTATTAGTTAACTCTCTTACCTATCAGAGGCACGAGGAGAAGGTATAGTGACTGTGGCATCGGTACTTGAGGAGGGACTGGGTCTCAATGGAAGGGCCTCAGCTTTGCTTGCAGAAGGTCCCAAGTTTAATCCCTGGCATCTCTAGCTAAGAAGGACCAGGCAATTGGTGATGTGAAAGACCTCTAACCTGGAGAGTCACTGAGTCTGTATAGGCAGTCTGATTCAGTATAAGGCAGATTCATGTGTATACTTACTAAAGGTTGATGGAAGATGGGGAAGGAAGGACTATTCTTTAATGTTCCCTTAATGAGAAAAAGAGTTGCATGAAAACTGGTTCCTTGCATACACTTTCTGTACTATTATTCTCAAATGATGTGCAGGGACTTACTGGTATTATCTGACAGAGTACTGCAAGAAATAAACACATTAAATAATTAAAGGCCTCTGAGACATGGCACACCTTCTCCAAGGGCAAATAATTCTGGTGTATGTTTTCCTCAGGAATGATTGGAACATTCAATCATTCTTGATGCAGATGTGAACAAAATTACACTGCTTTTAGAGGAGATCACTTCTTGTATCTCTGCACAAGTAGCTGCTCTGGGCATACAGCTTTCTAATCAAAAGGCATATCCAGAGTAGCATCTCACTCAAAAATGCTGCTGATTACCTTTTTGGAAAACAGGTAATTCTGTCATATCTCAGCATTGGCATTACAGAGCAATCTGCTGAGGAGGACAGGAGTAGAAGGTTGTAAGTATTGCTTCTGCCTAGGGTTACCAACGTAAAGTTGGGGCCTGGAGTTTTGTAGAATTATAGCTAATCTCCAGAGTACAGATATCAGTTCCTGTAAATGAAAGACAACTTTAAAGGGAAAGAGCTTTGTAGGGCAGACTTTATGGTATGCCACAGAGCCTAGAAGAAACAGAAGTCCTAGAATAACATCACATCCATGCTGAGCCCAATGGGGACTCCAAGTAGCTTACATTGTTTCTTCTCATCCATTTTATCCTTATGAAAACCTTGTGCGGTGGCTTGGGCCAAGGGTTTGACAGGCCCAAGGTTACCCCACAAGCGTCCATGGCAGAGTAGGGATTTGAAGTTGATTCTTTAATATCCTAGTCTGGCACCAACCAATCTCCAGAATTTCCCAAACTGGAGGCAAATTTACATCTGCATGTTTCATTCAAATAGTACAGTTACCATGTACACTAGAATGTACAAGCCTTTAAAACACAGAAAAAGATTGTTAAAATTGTCTATTAATGTTTGAAAATGGGCTGAAATTATTGTTACAGTTATTAATCCCTCAAAAAGTATATTTTCAATGATTTACAAAGATTGGAACAGCCAATAGGGTGTTTTTGTATCAAAACTGTGATTCTTTTAGGAGTCTTGGAAAAATGAATGTGAAAAATGAATTAAAGTAAGATATTGAATTAATATCCTGATTTTAGCCAGTGCTAAGGTTGGAGACAAATGCTATTTAAATCAACAGGACCGCTTCAATTGCAGGTGGTGAGAATTAGGTAGCACGTTTTGGGGACTTTGAATCAAGCTCTGGAGTTGTAGAAAACTAATTAATTCAGTAACACTATTTAATGTTGATTAAAAGGTAAATAAATTATATGGTACTATTCCATTCCAGTAGTCATTTTTTTAGGTATACAAGAAAAACTGCCTCAGTAGTTTTAGAAATCCCTATTCATATTTTAATGGTGACCATTTATTATTGGTAATGTAACTTTTTGGGCATTTTATGGTAATTTTCTTCATAAATATTCAAAATATTCCCTTCCCCCCTCAATAATAAACACAGCATCATTTAAAATAATTTCAAATACAGGAAGTACTCTCAGTTGCTCTGTTGGTGAATGATAGTTATGAGAGCTGATTTCAGTGTAAGTTCCTTACCAGGTCCTATATTCACACCTTTTTTTTTTTTTACAAATACTGCTTTATCTTTATCTTGCACAACCAAATAATTCTGTTTGTTCTTCCTTGCTCTTGGTGATTTGCTTCAGATGTGGTCTCTTACTGCTGAACAAGCAGTTCCTGCCCCAAGATATTCCCAACTAATGTAATCCATGGTATGCATGACAAAGAGATTGTAGGTACATCCTCCTTGGACATCTAAAGAGCAGATGGTTCCTAGTAACTCAAGCAAACACTGAGTGGTTCGCTAGGTTGTACATATTCAGGTTGGCTAGGCCATCTAGTCAGAGAGCCAACCCAAACTTGTGCCAGACGTTCCATGTCCATAGCACCCAATGATGTTTAAAACTCAATTTTCAGGCTTGCAGGAACCCACTGTGAATTGGGATCATGTCACATGATAGGGGGTATCCCTCTTTAAAAAAAAAAAAGTCTAGTATATAGCATTTTATTTGTGCCCAGAAAGTACAAGATTTCTTTGTGTACATCCTAAACAGTCCTAAAAATATGCCTGGATTTTTGGATTCTTAAGGTTCGTTTCTTCATCTTAGAAGGCAAAGTTCTCTATCTTTATCTTTGTGTATAAACATTCATTTAGAACCAAAAGCTGAAGTGATTTGTAAGAAAATTAAAACAAGGCATAGAGCTTACAGTTCCGTAGAGCTGCCTTTGCCAAAAAGTAATTTGGGATATAAATATCTTAGTTAATAAATAATAAAAGATGGTGATTTATTTGTTTGATTTTTTTTAAAAAAAACTCTTTGCCATCATAAAATGTGCTTGGTGCAGCATATACAATCCCCCCCCCCAATTTTATCTTCATAACAACCCTTTAAGGGTAGGTTAAGCTGAGAGAGTGTAACTGGCAGCTCATTGAAACTAGTGGTAGGGTGGAGATTTGAACCCAAGTCTCATTGGTCACAATTAAGAATTCTAACCACTACATGACATTGATTTATGAGTGAGACATAATAGTCAGTATTCATTATACACAAAAATTACTAAATTGTGAAGAGAATAGATTATCAATCAGGTAACCTTGAAGCATCTACCTCTGAATCGAAACTATAAATGCATGTGAATTCTTGATTTATCAAATAACTTTGTACTGTATACCTGATGGAGTGAGAGGAGGGTAGAGAGGAGGGTTACCTGATGGAGTGGGTAAGTATGTGTTTGTATATGAAATGTGCCTGTGTATCTCAGGATAATTTTTCCTGTTTTTGTGGCGATGGAAAAGTTGACACATGACGATAAATATGTACCTTAATGAATTAGTATGTATTTCAGTGATTACACATTTCAGTAATTATTACTTTTTCAAATATTGGGGAATGGGAAAAGCAAAGTACAGCTTTCAAAATGGCAATAGACACATAGATTTTATTTAATTTTTACAGTGTTTCTTTAGTCTCAAAATTCTGAAGCAGTGAGCAGTGACTCAAGAAAGCTCATTCCCTACCACAATTTTTTTAGTCTTGTTTGTAAGTTATATAGTGGTCCCAAATTTCCAGAAGAAGGTTCTCTGCCTTTGTATTTGTTTTATTTCAGGCTTTGAATAAGAGTGGTGTAAAGGGCTGCAGAATTACTTGGATTTTATTTATTCTTATTATATTGTCTGTTTTAGAAAGATTTCATGGCAAGTTAAGTCAGTAAAAAAGAGGAGTCCAATTAAGCAGATTCAGTTTGTATTGTGCATAAAGCAGATGCTTAATAAAATTAAGACTACAATTGAAGCTCTCTTCTGCATTACCTCAATTGTCAGTAATATATTCCTATGCAGGATGAATGCCTTTTTACTGCATGCTTTCCAAAGTTAGAGAAACAAAGAAAAGAATAATTAGCATTGACTGACTGTGGATGTTGTATAAGACTGCATAGTGTAACAGGGTGTTTTGTGTGTGGGATTTTTGGTATTTTTTCCCTTTACAGGGCTTGCTCTCAGAAATCCTGCGAAAGGAAGAGGACCCCAAGACAGCTTCACAGTCTCTACTGGTAAACCTTCGGGCTATGCAGAATTTCTTGCAGCTTCCAGAAGCAGAAAGGGATCGCATATACCAAGATGAACGGGAAAGGAGTTTGAATGCAGCTTCTGCTATGGGCCCCACACCTCTTATAAGCACACCACCCAGCCGACCTCCACAAGTAAATTGTCTTTCGTGTATTTCTGATCTGTTTGTTGCTAAAGTGTTGGTAATGTCTGACGAAAGAAAACTAAGCTGTATACTATTTTTAAGCATAAATAAGCATAAATAGTGTTCTGAGGCATGAGTTAAAAATCTTTTATAATCTAGCCCTGACCTGGATAGCGCAGGCAAGCCTGATCTCATCAGATCTCGGAAGCTAAGCAGGGCCAATCCTGGCAAGTACTTGGAAGGGTGACTTCCAAGGAATACCAGAGCCGGGATGCAGAGGCAGATTATCAAGCCACCTTTCTGAAATGTCCTAGCCCTGCTAGGGTGTCACCAGAAGTCACTGACTTCCTGGCTTGCAAGCACACACACAAAATATTCACCAAAAAAACCCTTTTATAATCTTTATTAACCTATGTAGACAAGAAGCTCTGAAGTCAACAGACAATTCTGTGTTTTGGCTTTAGATACAGCCAGGAAATATGTATAACCTTCTCCATCAAAACCCACACACACACTTCTGTCCACACTGCGCTCTATCCATTGTGGGGGCAGTTCTCTGGAGCAGAACTCATTGAATAAATTGAGTTGGTTTTTATACTCTGCTTTTCTCTCCCCTAAGGATTCTCAAATCAGCTAACAATCGCTTTTCCTTCCTCTTCCCACTACAGTCACCTTGTTAGGTAGGTGGGGCTGAAAGAATTTGGAAATAACTGTGACTGGCCCAAGATCACCCAGTGGGCTTTGGAGGAGTGGGGAATCAACCTGGATCTCCAGATTACAGTCCGCCGCTTTTAACCTCTGTATGGTTTCTCAAAGAACGCTCCAGGAAAGGATATATGAGCCTTCTGAGAATACTATAATATCTAGGATTTTCAGTCAGAATCTATTGATTTTTGGATCTCTGTTTTAATAACTGTCATAGCTGGGAGTCCAAGATGTTATCCATTTTCCATTGAAATTGCTGCTGATTCCTCAACAAAAAAAACACAATAAGCTAGTCCCAACAAATGATACAAAATGCAGAAAGTAAACAGCAACTCCTATAAGGAGTGGGTTTTTCTTCCTCTTTATATACGTAGTTCATTTTTTATACTACATCATTATGCAATAAGTGTATGGTCTTTTGCCAGCTACTTACATGGATTTGTGTATTGAAATGTTGAGTACTGACTACTTGTTTGATACTTCCTAGTTTTATTTATCATGTATGTATTTTATGCAGTGTGTAAGTGGTTCAATAGTAAGCTGTATTTTGCTTTAGTCCTTTGCACTTTGGTGTTTTGTCTTTGTTTGAAAATGATTCCTGAACATTTCTAAAAATCAGGTTAAACATAAATCAGGCTTATGTCTCTGATCTAGAGATTTCTTGGACCCTCAGGGTTTCAGTCTTCTGGGTGCCAAGGTGGAATCTTCATATATGTGTGGTACTCACAATTTCTAATTTCAAAGGATATATTTCAGTGTGCATTGCACTTTACTAAGATTGTTTAAACACCTCTGAAATCTAAGTGTCTGGTCTTTCTCTAAATAGAAAATAGTTCTAATTGACAATCTGTGTGCCAAGTCTTATTTTAATGACATGTGAAATGGCCAAAATATAAAATACAACCTTCCATCCTTGAAAAACCACCATGGAGAGGAAAGTTAATGGAAACACTCACACTTAAATATAACTGTACTTCCAGGCGCCACCATAATAATGGAGTAGTAAACTTTGTCCTGATAAAAAGCCATTTTGAAAGCAACCACATTTATTATACCTTTCATGCCATTTGCAGAGAAGAACTAAAAAGTAGTTTGTTTTGCCTGGAATGAACTACTTTATGAATTTTAGTGTATAATGTAATATTAAAAGCTAAACTGGGATTTAAAGAGATTTTTGTTCCTAAAACTAAAACAGTAGTTATGAGAATGCATTATAAAAGGTTTTTTGTTTTATTTTCACCTGGGAAAAATAATGTGAGCTCCCATATTTGTGAAAACCTGTTCATTTACCTATTTGTGCTTTGTTCAGAAAATATAGCTCCAGAATTTCCCATTTTTATAATTAGTGAGGACATACATACAGATTAGCTAGTAAAGAAGTTTTTTCTGTGTACTTTAAAATAAGTATTAGGAATGGAAATTATTCTTTCTTATGCTCATCTTCACAAAAGTTTATAGCAGTTTCTTAGAAATGGTAGCAGTTTTGTCACAATTACAAATAACTGATTAGGTGATGCCTAGTTGCACTGTTTTTAAGATGTACTCTTTTAGCAGGCATTTGTTTCACATTTTGTGAACGGCCATATGTACTGATGTGGCTATATTAGTAATAACTTTTATTATGGGTTTTGGTGGTGTTCCAGTTTTACATTTTTGAAGGTTTTATGCCCTTTGCTAGCGCTTTTTCTCACAGAGCTCTCTCTTGAGTTCATTTTTACCCCAAACACTAAATTTCCTTTCAGGAAACTGAGTGTTACAAACCTCTGCTCCTTTTTTGAAATAAATTTGTGAAGCACAGCAAGTTGTGACTGATGCTTAAGGAAGGGTTTTTTTTGCATAGATAGTCTCCTAAAGTTTAATTAGTAATATAAAGTAGTGCTCACCACAACATAACCTAATCATGCATGCTATTCTTAATGCTTCAAAAGAAAGTTAAGAAATAAAGGAATTATTTTTGAGATTGCTTTATTGTGCAAGACTTTAAAAATGAAATAAACTTTCTTAAGCAATCTACATCCAAAGTCAGTATATGCTAAGCAACCTTGTTAATTTCCTCATAAAAATAATTTGACGATAATAAACTTACTTTTGTGATTTGAGAAAAATTGCTGATTGCTGTAGGTATTCTTTGCATGAGAGAGTTGTTCAGAGTAAAAAAATATGGACCTGATCTGCCAACATTAGTATAATTTAATTATTCTCTTTCACCATGTTTCTGATTTAGCTCATTTAATCCATGTGGGCCCACTTTTAAATCATCTCTATAGTCTTGAGAAAACAATTGCTTTAGGTGAATGAAGAAATACTTCAGTGTATAAGGGTTCAGTGCAATTGCCAGCTTTTTCTGGTGAATAGAAAAGAGAACTGCAAAGCAGGTTTGATGGCTACAGAGGTAATTTATGGCAGTGTCGCAATTTGCAGTATAAATATTCAAGAATTTTTTCCAGCTTAAGACACATTCAGAGATTGAAATACATTTGAAGTTAACTAGACAGTTTGTCTAAAAAAGCATTAAATTGTTTTTGTTCTGTGCAGAGAAGAGCTATAGAAACAAGACTTAATAGGACAGCACTGTAGATTACTTTTTAAATAAAGAGTAAAATTAAACATTTTGTTTATTTGATACCTAACACTGAAATCCTGCTCTTCCTCTGAGGAGCCATGGGCAGTACTATTACCATTGCGCACACAAACACAGTTACTTGAAGGTTCATTTCTCTGGTAAGAACCTGGGCAGACTTTCCCACTGCATGGGTGCTTGTCGGTTATTCCACTAGTTGTTGTAGATTTTCTGGGCTGTGTTGCTGTGGTCTTGGCATTGTAGTACCTGACATTTCATCACCTGACGTCACAGCTGCTGGCGAAATGTCAGGTACTACAATGCCAAGACCACAGCCATACATCCCGGACAATCTACAACTATTGCACAGTTTTTGCTGGCATAACTTTATGCTGCCTTCAGGGGCACTCGTAGGGCTAGGGAGGCATAGGAAGCCAAAAACTCCAGCTTTGCCCAGGCAGCTTACCTCTCTATGCCAGCATAGCCCTTACCCTGGAGCAATGCCTGTGCCAGACTGGCAGGGCTTCCTGCCGCATAATTCTTAGCCAGCTTCCTAACCATTTTCAGCTCAGAGCTTTGCCTTTTCAGATAGCTGTTACTGCTCAAGGACATTCAGCCATAGCACTGGCCCTTTGGAACAGCCTCCCTGAACAGGAGCGAGTTCCTGTAATTGGCTGGATTCGAGAGACAGTGTAAGAGCAGTCTTGTTCAAAAAAGCTTTTGGTGGAGGATGAAGTTTCAGCTGTACTTGGTGGTGAGAAAGAGAGCAGGGAAGGTTCATATTTAAAATTTTTCAGTTCTTCACCAGAACTGTTTTTTGTTTTTAGTTGCTTTTAGGGCCTGGCGGGAGATGATCCATGGGGTCGCGAAGAGTCGGACTCGACTGTGCGACTGAACAACAACAAGGCACTATCATTTATTTATTTAGAAAGTTATTATACCACTTCTCTAGGAACCTACCCAAGGTGGATTACAAAATTATCAAAAACAAAGTAATAAAATATATCAATTAAAACCAGGCATTTAAAAACTCAGCCCCCTATGAAAAGTGAGAAATCGTGATATGATTCAGCACACACAGAGCACACGCATGCATGCACACACACACAGTTTATTTGGGTTTTATGGGGAAGGATGCAAGATAATGGAGAGAGTCAGTGTTCCCTCTCAGCTGAGTTAGTGTGAGCTAGCTCACAGTTTTTTAGTCTCTGGCTCACACACTTTTGTCTCCACGACTCCATGGACTTTAGGCCGAGAGAGAGTGACTGACTCACGGTTACCCAGTAAACATGGCTAAACAGAAATTTGAACTCAAGGTTCCCCAGTCAAAATCCAGCACTGTAGCCATTCTACCACAGTAATGGAAAATAAAGTGAAAGACCTAAAGCATGAGATAAAATTGACTGTACTCAGTGTTTCCCTGTGCTTAATTTCTTTAGTGAATCTAATGCTGCAATTACATCCTCTCGATTGTGAACGTTCATTCAGATATTTGCAAGTGTCTTTTGGCCTATTTCACACATTTGAAAGGAAGCTTGTATGAAAGATATAATTCTTTCAGTACCAAGCATACTTACATGAAAGTAAAGCTCACTTATTTTGATGTACCTTCTAATTAATGGGATTTAAAATTGCAGAGAATGATGACAATTGTATCTCTTAACTGGATGCTCATTATTACTTATTTGAAAGGTGGAATGACATTCATATATTATTGTATAGGTGAAAACAGCTGCTATTGCAACAGAAAGGAATGGAAAATCAGAAAACAATACTATGAACATTAATGCTTCCATTTATGATGAGATCCAGCAGGAAATGAAGAGAGCAAAAGTGTCTCAAGCATTATTTGCAAAAGTTGCAGCAACTAAAAGCCAGGTAAGGCATCATCAAGTTGACTTGCATTAAAGATTTCCCAACATTTGTTCCAGTATGGAGTTTATTTGGGTTTTATGGGGAAGGATGCAAGATAATGGAGAGAGTCAGTGTTCCCTCTCAGCTGAGTTAGTGTGAGCTAGCTCACAGTTTTTTAGTCTCTGGCTCACACATTTTTGTCTTAGGTCAGGAAAGATGGCTCCAGAGCAACCTACTTTATTCAGTAGCCAAATCGCTCGCGCGCTCACAACTTTAACACCAGTAGCTCACACAGTACAATTTTTGCTCACAAGACTCCACAGCTTAGAGGGAGCATTGGAGAGCGTATCAGTGCAATCTGCAAAATGTTAAATTTGGTTGAGTGGACTCTAAGGAGATAACTGCTTGAATTCTATGCAGCTCAAGGAGTCTTTTAAAATAGGGTTATCCTTTCTCTGGATTTTGAACTATTGTGATAGCCTGACGTAGTTGACTGAAATGTGATGAAAGATTAACTTCTGTCTGCCAGAATAGATAGAATGATTCAGAGTACACAATCCCAATCATTCAGGGGTCAGTTCTAGAGTTGTATTAATTCAGAAGTAACACATTACATCACCATGTTAACCATGGTTTTTGTTGCAACTTTATCTTACTGTGTAATGAATTATTCTTAAGTGCAGTTTTTCTTTTTTCTTTTTTTGTCCCATAGTGCACATGTGTTTCTTTCTGTAACATTACATACATCTTGCAGAACTCTTCTCCTTGGGCTGCATCTAATCAATTTTTATGTTGGGGGGAAAAAGACAAGAAAAGGTCCCCTTTGGCCATCCAAGAGGCTATGCATGTACAAAAGCAATTTGGGGTTATGTCTTTTGTCAGGATTATAATTTGATTGTGTGAAAAAACTGGCTGGATCCAATCCTTAGATATTCCTGTGTTTGTTTGTTTTTATTCTTCACTTAGTGCATGAACTCACATTTTTCTCCACTTCTTTCTACACCACCACTGGTTTTTGTTGCCACATACCTCTATATCCCCTTCTTTCAAAGTATAAAAACCAGCATTTATATCAACAACATTAAAAATTGTGGATAAAATTAAAATTTACAAAGGGTACATAATTAAGCAGGGCAAATTTTGTTTTGATTCAAAAATAGGGAAACTCAGTGCTTCAGCAGTCTGGGTTTCTTCATACTAATGTCATAAACAAAGCTCTGAGTTCGGCATGTTTTGTTACTTTGTCAAATGCTGCAATAAGTTTCTTTTCCCCCTGGTATATATATTAGTCGATACCCTTTGTTATATAAGCTTTGTAAATAAATATTAGACCAGTTATTTAGCACAACATATTTTACAATGATCAGTCATATTTATCTTGGAAGGTCATACCCAGGAACCAAGTTATTCCTCTCTAGTATCTAGTAATTTGAGATACACTGCTGTTGAACATAAAGTCTTCATGTTTTAGCTGGTCCATGGGTTTGTATAATCCATACGGATTCGTATAATCTTGTTAAAATTCATCAGATAGTCATATGTTTTGTTTGTTCTGGACCTGTTGCAAAAAATTGATTGGAATTGCTTTCATTCCCTCCTCCCTTAGCCAGCTCTTCTAGGTTCCAATAGGAAATGTGGGAAGACATGTTAGTCCCAATATTGGTTCCCATTTACGGTAGAAAACAAAGACCTATTTTCTTTAGTACATTTATTCTCCTCCCCCAAATCTCTTCCAACCTATCTGGTTCTTGGTTGCATCAAGCATAATACAAATAGAATGTTGAAACTGACATTTATAGAGAAGATGTCTTTCTCAGTTCTAATACTGAGTTTGCCCTTAGAACTGCTGCAGAGTACTGAGCAGTTAGCTTTGTCCAGTATCCCAAAGTCATTCTCCTGGATGACCGCAACAAATTTTGAACCCATCACAGATGGGTTTTTGCTGTTGTTGTCTCAACGCAAATGAACTTTACACTTTTATTTATTTATTTACTTCACTTGCACTCTACCTTTCTCTCCTTTTGGGACTCAGTGTGTGGCTTACTTCGTTCTCCATTACTCTGTTTTATCCTCACAACCGCACGAGGTAGATTAGGCTTTGCATGTGTGACTGGCCCAAAGTCACTCAACAAATTGTCATTGCAGCATGGGAATTCAAACCTGGGTAACTCAGGTCCAGGTCCAGTGCTCTAACCACTATACTATAGATCTCCCATCCCCCTAATTCTGCTTTCTTCTCATAAGTAAAAGAGCTTAGACTGACTAAGTGACTGGCCCCTGTTGTTCACCCAATAAATTCATGGCTAAGTAAGGATTTGAACTCCAGGCTCCCCAGTCCTAGTCTAGTACTGTAACCACTACACCAAACTGGGTCTCTCATAGGGTGTACATGGTAACATTGCCTTAGAAATCCATTATAAAAATGCTGTAAAAGATCTTGATTTTAAGCATCAACAATTTCAGTTAGAGTGAAAGCAGCACCTGCCTGAAATCAGTGTTTAATTTTAAAAGTTTAAAAACTAAACTGGGTAGCAAGTGTGGAGACATTAAATGTTGATAAACATGACTGATTGATACAGAAATGATTCTGTAGGATTTTTATCAGTATTGTCATCATGTCCAATTAGTGCATATTAACTGCAGGTAGCATGTTAACGGTATGAACATATACAACTTTAGTTACAGGTATGGGATTATGAAGGCAGAGTGTAGTGAAACATTGACATGAAAAGTAGATTATGACAGAATATGACCTCTTTTTATTAAGTGTGTTTGAGATTCTAGTGTTGCATTTTGTTTTGTTATTTAAGCTTCAACTTTGGAAATGTTTGCAGTTGGGAGTTGGTCCATCTTTTCATTATATAGAAAAGATGTTTCTTTTTAAAGTTATATGCTGTAAGGAATACTTAAAAGGATATTTTGGAAATGTTATATCAAAATGATTAAACTCAAGCTGTGGACTGTAAAAAATTATAGCTTTACAGGCCACATGCCTGCCTACCCTTCAATCACTGTCAAAGTGATAATTTCTGCAATAATATGTTTCTTTTATTGTGGGATTCTAAACACCAAGTGCTGTTTAAACATTAAACTGAATTGTTTATGTTAGCGCTGTACTCAGTGTGTCATACATCAGGCCACTATAATCTCTCATGGAATGTAAAATTCTGTCATGAATCATGGCTTGTGTATCGGAAATTACTGTAATTTTGATTGGAAATTACAGGGCTCTTGAAATGTTTCTAATTATGATAGAATGTTAAGCGCGACTTCAAACCTGTGTGCTTCTTTAGATGTCTTTTATTTCCATATGAAGGTTATGTATGAAAAAGAAATATCCGTTATCTGCACCCCTCTGTATTACCCATCTATACTGTTTTCCGCTTAACATTAATACTACATCCACAACGCCACTTGTTTTTGTACTGTGTTTAATGTACATTGGTATGGGGGTGGAGGGTGTACATTGGTATGAAGGTGGGAGGAGTCCCCACTGAATTCTACCTGTACTGCAATAGTCACACATTTCTTACAATTTGTTTTAAGTTTATTATGCAATATAGTATTTTAACTAAAAAAGGGGAAAACAGTAGTTCCAGAAAACATCGTGTTGACATGCTGCCTATAATAATTGGGTAAACAAAATGACAGGATATTAGTCACTGAGATCACCAGTAGTCTTGTTAAAAATGCATATGACATAGCACATCATCCCAATTATTTCTGTACTAGGAATATTCACATGTAATTCATGTATGTATTTTTAAAAATAGCTTGCTTATTATTAGACAGCAACTTATATAAGGTCCACTGTTACTAATACTGGCAATCTACTTTTCTTTTGAACTTTTTTAAAAAATGTATTGTTGCAGTATAAAACTATTGAATTCTATTCCCATGTATTGGGTGTGATACCTAACATCCATAGTTTATCTTCCCCCCACCCCATATATTTACATAACCAGCATTACTCAGCTTTGCAGTGCTCCAAGCTTAAAAATTGTGTATTAGTTTAAGTACAAGCTACTTTGCAGCTGTGGCTGAAAACAGACAATCAGAGAAAGCAATGGAATATGAGTTTCTGCTACACAAGAGGGAAGAGCAGCCTTTGTCTTTCAAACCACTGCAGTATCTTCCAGAACTCCTGTGCACTATGGAATTGCGGTGCTTTCTTTGATGTCTGTATTTCCATGCAATTTTCTTTCTTCACCAGATGTATGATATCCCTGTTTGCTGGAAAATTCATTGTTCTAAAGACCTCCTAAAACAAAAGGGTTAATCCCATTTAGATAAACCATAATAGTTCTTGCTACAGCAATATAGTCTGTTTGGTAGTAATATGGAAATTGGGTGCTGCATCTTCTGTGGTGAACAAGAACAAGATGCCACTGTTTACAATTTTATAAAGAAACATTGTGAGTCTGAAAGATTTCATTCTCTAGTTTCTTATACCAAATATTCAACTAGTCTTTTTCACTTATTTGCATGACTTATTTACACATGAAAGGTAGATCATTGCAGTTCAGGTGGTGAAGAGTGCCATCATACTTCTTTACTGCTACACAAAATGTGGCTTGCGTGCAAGTGGACAGGTGGTTTTCTTCCTTGTGAACTTGGGGCTACTAGGGATGCTATAGGCCTGAAGTATTCCTCCTGTATATATTGTAGCTGTTTCCCTGAAGTATGGTTTCAGCAAGACAGAGTTTCACTTTTGAGTAGTACTGTCAATAACTCAACAGCTGTTGTTTGGTAATTTGAAAAGCATAATGTATGTCCCTCATGCTCACATACCTGATTCTGTTATTACTCTTTTAATATAATATTTGTTAAACTGCACTGGCATTTCCTTGTATAAAAGTATTAGAGTAATTCTTATGTTTCCGTGAAGAACTGTTTATTTGGTATATTAATATTGGACAGTTATTTTTTAAAAGTCGTTTGACTTTCCCATCTTTTAATCCACTGTTAGTTTAATCTTGCCATTTTCCTTGTTGCTGTAACTTGTTGCTATTATATACATCCTT